TGATCAATTTCAAATTAACAAATAGAATTTAGTGACAAGTTATTCAGTGAAACAAAGGACAAAATATTAACCTGTGATAATATTGGACAATTGGAAATATTATTATAGCAAGTGTATATGCCTATAAAATATACTTGAAATTTATATGAATAGTTTTTAAGACTACACATATTTGGTAACCCTAGCTTCTCTTTCTCTCCCAAGGGAGGGCTGTAGGGTCTAATGGTATGTATAATTAAATTGTGTATTTTCATCTGATTCTTCAATTCATATAATGCTCACTTACCTATAGCTTTAACCATGTATATTTTATCCTCATTTATTTTGGATAAATGGATTTATTTGGATAAATGGATTCCATTCTTTTAGACATTTATCCTCTTTGAAAATGAACAAGATGAACACATTTACTAAGTATGTTATCGTGATGTTGAATGAAATTATTAGTTTGATCCATGTGATACTGATGGCATTTTGCTGTTTTATGATCCACATGTTTGCAATGTTAAGAGTTGTCTTGCACAATATGGATGGAAACATATCTATATGAATTCATTAAATATGCATGGCTGAAGACACTGTGGCCAAAAAAAATGACCTAAATGAAAGATCTCTGTGAGTGAGATCCCAGCGGAAAGAACGGGCCATCAAAGAAGGAGGTAACTTTCTCTGAAGTGAGGAGAGAACTGCCACTTTGACTATGGCCTTGTCTAAATAAGATCGGAGTTGGCGAACTCAAGAGGCTTCCATAGCCTTGGCAGCTCATGACAAGTGTCTCGGGTGATTACTGATGTCATAAATAAGAGCGTCAATTGTTAAATCAACAGGAGTCACTGTGCACTTCTCCTCATGTAGGATCTCTGTCCTTAATGTCTTGTGTATTGTGAATTAATGCTATAACTAGTACTCAAACAGTACTTTATACTTTGGGTTTCTGAGTGGGTGCAAACTGTTGAAATCTTTACTTAGTATATACTAAGTTGATCTTCTGTACATAAAGATAATTGAAAATGAATCTTGATGAAGAATGGAATGAGAGAGGGAGTGGGAGATGGGATGGTTGTGGGGGGAGGAAGGTTACAGGGAGGGAGGAAAGCCACTACAATCCAAAAGTTGTACTTTGGAAATTCATATTTATTAAATAAAAGTTAAAATAAATGCATGGTTTGCCCTAGAGTAGTTTCACTAAATCCAAATTAGGGAGAGAATGCATATGAACTACAACAGGATCTCCAAATAATTCTTATAAATTATACCATCTCATGGCAATTTTCATGAGAAAAATTATATGCTTTCAATATAATCTGTCATTGTTTTAGTGTTCAAGCAAGTTTTGGGTGACAGAATTTATGAAGTCTTTTGGAAACTAAGATTTATTCAGAATAATAACAACAGGAAAATTCATGCTAATAAATTTATATGATATGACAAAGATAAAAGTTTATGGCATATGTAAAATATGCTAAATATTTTTCACATATTTTATATATATTATATATATTCATGTTATATATACGTATTATATAATTATATACATTCATATGCCTTACAACAAACATATCATATATATATTCATATTCCTTACAACAATAAGAGGGATGCAATTATTAACATTTTAAAAGGGATAAACTCATATGAAAAAATGCTATATTATATCATCAAAGTAAACCATTATAAATGTCAAATTTGAAATTCAAAATTAGATTTGCTTTCAGAAAGGTCACCTAAAATATTCAATTTGTGAATTTTTCTGTTGCAGCAGTTGATAATAATAGGATAAAAAGGTTTATTGGTAAAAACTAAAAAAAGTCAGAGATTTTTTTTAATTTTTTTAAATTTAAAGAAATTTAAATTTATTTTTTATTTTTAATTTTTTAATTTTTTCAGAGACGTACCATGACATAAATGAAGCTTTAATTTATTTATTAATTGTGTAAAAGTTGGAGAAGAATGCATATTTAGGTTTTTATAATTTTTTGACAAATCATGGTGAAAGAGTATGTTCTTTCATAGAGATATTCATTAGGAACAGAAAATAAAACATTATTTTTAAATCTACTATAGAAGATATTTCTAGGTAAGGTTTGAGGTGGCCTGGGGTAAAGATCCAAGAATAAAATGTTACAGCTTTTTGGCTGGCGCCACAGCTCACTAGGCTAATCCTCCGCCTTGCAGCAATGGCACACCGGGTTCTAGTCCCAGTCGGGGTGCTGGATTCTGTCCCAGTTGCCCCTCTTCCAGGCCAGCGCTCTGCTGTGGCCAGGGAGTACAGTGGAGGATGGCCCAAGTGCTTAGGCCTTGCACCCCATGGGAGACCAATAGAAGCACCTGCCTCCTGCCTTCGGATCAGTGCAGAGCCCTGGCCGCAGTGCGCTGGCCGCGGCAGCCATTGGAGGGTGAACCAATGGCAAAGGAAGACCTTTCTCTCTGTCTCTCTCTCTCACTGTCCACTCTGCCTGTCAAAAAAAAAATGTTACAGCTTTTTGGTTTCCTGATCATTTTTTTATAAATAAAATGGATGAGGATATTTTATCTTACAACCTTAGTAAAGTCATAAGGAGACATCTAGAAAATGAGGAGCAATCCTTAAAAAGAGAACTTCACAGAACTTTACAGCAGACAGCAAAATAAATAGAAAGCATATTAGTTATATGAATGTTTGTTTAAAAAAGGCTAAAGGGAAGAATACTCCTCAGTGAGTTAATATAAACAAACATGCCAAATTGAAATCTGAAAAGTGTCCTTCATAGTTTTATATATTTGACTGTATTTTCCAAAATTTATTAAAATTTAATTATCTTCAATTTTGGCAACTGGGCTGTAGTCATATCTATTATTGTATCTAAGGAAATATAAAAACAAACTCTGTATTTTAGTGGATTTTAAGAGACAATGAATTTCATATTAAAATTTTATTTTCAAGATTAATATATAAAATAATTACATCAAAATTGTATAAATATTATTAAAAACAGATATAATATCTTAAAAATGCCTTAATGGTAAGGAAATGAGACAAAAAGGGTAATATATATAGCAAATATTCTTTCAAAAATAATGAATGGACAAGATATATGTCTTTTGTCAATTAATAGGGTTAACATGATATTCAATATCATTTTTTCATCTGTGAGTGCTATTAAGTGAAAGGTGTTTTGTAGTGTATGTATTTTTAGAGCTCAGATGGTTTCTGAAAATTAATTAAAATTTATGAAAGTAGTTTAAAGGAAAAATACTCCTTGAGGAGAGAAAAGCAATCAGAAAGTTTAACTTCATGACCTTTATTTAAATAAAAATGTGACTTCCTTTATGTCATTAATTCACTATATTCTCCTTTCTTTTTTCTTTTAACTTTTATTTAATGAATATAAATTTCCAAAGTACGGCTTATGGGCTTATGGATTACAATGGCTTCCCCCCCATATCGTCTCTCCCACCCGCATCCCTCCCCTTTCCCACTCCCTCTCCCCTTCCATTCACATGAGGATTCATCTTCGATTCTCTTTATATACAGAAGATCAGTTTAGTATACATTAAGTAAAGATTTCAACAGTTTGCACCCCCATAGAAACACAAAGCAAAATATATACAGTTTGAGTACTCATTATAGCATTAAGTCTCAATGAAAAGCATAAGTCTCAATGTACAGCACATTAAGGACAGAGATCCTACATGAGGAGTAAGTGCACAGTGACTCCTGTTGTTGACTTTACCAATTGACACTCCTGTTTATGGCATCAGTAATCTCCCTATGCACCAGTCATGAGTTTCCAAGGCTATGGAAGCCCTCTGAGTTCTCCGACTCTTATCTTGTTTAGACAAGGTCATAGTCAAAGTGGAGGTTCTCTCCTCCCTTCAGAGAAAGGTACCTCCTTCTTTGAAGACCTGTTCTTTCCACTGGGATCTCACTCACAGAGATCTTTCATTTAGTTGTGTTTTTTTTTTTGTTTGTTTGTTTGTTTTTTTTTGTTTTTTTGTTTTTTGTTTTTTGTTTTTTTTTTTTGCCAGGGTGTCTTGGCTTTCCATGCCTGAAATACTCTCATGGGCTTTTCAGCGAGATCCAAATGCCTTTAGGGCTGATTCTGAGGCCAGAGTGCTGTTTAGGACATCCACCATTCTATGAGTCTGCTGAGTATCTCGCTTCCCATGTTGGATCACTCTCCACTTTATTTATTCTATCGGTTAGTGTTAGCAGGTACTAGACTTGTTTATGTGCTTCCTTTGACTCTTAGTCCTTTCATTATGATCAATTATGAACTGAAATTGATCACTTGTACTGGTGAGATGGCATTGGTACATGCCACCTTGATGGGATTAAATTGGAGTCCCCTGGTATGTTTCTAACTCTACCATTTGGGGCAAGTCAGCTTGTATTCTCCTTTCTTTTTTATCTTTATCTATATTTAGTGCTTTGAGTGAATCATTATGAAAAACAACACTAATGAAAATCCATAAAATATAGTACAACACATGATAACGTTTAGTCAATTTCTGAAAAACAAATCAAAAGCATTATGGTGAAAAATTAGCAAATTATTATGTTATCTTAATTCTTATTTCTCTTATTAGAATCTGTTATTGAAATCAGAAAACTAATCTTCTGAACAACAATGAAAAACAGTTCTAAAGAGTAAAAAGTTGAAGGGTAGCCAAAAATTTTTAATTTGGACTAGTCATTTACACAGCAGGGATACAGGTTAAAATTGCCACAGCATATTTCATGGATTGAATGTATATCAAAAGTCCATGTGAGCAACCTTAACACTAATAGAAATAGGCTATATTTATTACTTAATAAAAATCATTAAATATTATACATTTGATTTCTCCTCCAAAGTTAATTCAAAACAATTTGTGCTAGCGTCCTTTAAACAATTAAATCATTAATTTTATTGGTGAAAAATACTTGACAAATTAGAGACTCACATGAGATTTAATAATATTCAGAACTCCAGAATCTACAATGGTATTGGCAACTGTTATACATTGATTGCTGTTACCTTATCGCCTTCAGAAAATGTGATGCCATCTACAGCTCTTTTCCAAGTTATTTCTGGAATAGGCTCCCCTTCTGCTTCACAGATGAGTGTAACATGACCATTCTCATATGTAGTTTCATTTTGAAGTCGTATGATGTGAGGCTGTACTGTAAAGAATATATACATTACTCAATCCGTATTGCAGGAAATACTTCTTGTCAGAAATAAGGGATAGAAGACATATGAGTACATGCCATAACAGTATGTGATAAATTAAATTTGTTGCAACTACTGTGGTATGGCATTCTCTGTAAGTGTGACAAGAGAGTCTCAAAGTACAGGATAAAAAATATTTAGAAAACAATGCTGATCTATTATCATTTTAAAGACAATTTGAATGGCTTAGAAGCCAACAAAATAATTATAAATATTTTCATAATTTTTCCATTGTAAACATCAAGTTATTATTTTCTTCCTCTCTGAAAGGCATATAATTAATTTTTAAAGGTGCATGTATTTCCTATATATGTGTAATATATATCTTCTGTTGCAATTTATATTAATATATTTTACATCAAATTAACTATTTTTATTATTATCACTTATATAAACAGAAAACAAGTTTTCTAATTTAAATTAATATAAATTTCATAAGATTACATATACAAGATCTTTATTTTTTAAATTCTATATTATTCATTACTGTCTGATATTATGTTATATGCTACTTAATTTTTTATAGGTTTAGGCAGAAAGTGGATAAAAGCCAGCACTAATTATTTCAGTAAAAGTGAAGGCTTTCTTTTGTAATCTGTCAACACAATCATCCATGGGATAAAAGTATAAGTTGGTTGTAGATGCATGGATTGATCTGGAGCTTCTATTCTATACCATTGGTCTACGAGTCTGTTTTTGTACTTGTACCAGGCTGTTTAGAAAACTTAAAAACAGTGTTGGAGATTTATGGGATACTATAAAGTGATCCACCAGATGGGTCTTAGGTATTTCTGGGAAGAAAGAGAGAATGGCCTAGAAGGCCTATTTAGTGAAATAATTACAGAAAACTTCACAATTTGGAGAAAGAAAAGAACACTCAAGGGGAGGAAGCACATAGAACTCCTAAAGATATGAACAGAAAAGATTTTCACCATGATACATTGTAGTCAAACTTTCCACAGTAAAACATAAAGAAAAACTTGTCATGGGACTCCAAATCCCATTAAGATTGGTGGTAAAAATGTTATCTTAATTGTTAAAGTGATCATATTAAGTGTTAAAGTGAAGATATAGATATGATTAAGTGTTAATATGATAATAGGATCAATTGTCTGGTAATAATAATAGATAGAATTAAAAAGGAGAGAATGTTCCAATATAGGACACAGTCCACAGAGCAGACACACAGAATGACAATCACTTTAAGTAACACTCTGATCTCAGAATCAGCTCTTAAGGTTTTCTGGTCCTTCTGAAAATCCCATAAGAGCATTTCAGGCATGGAAAGTCAAGATAATGTGGCAAAAAATGTTATACATGACGGACCTCTATGAGACCTCAGCAGAAAGAATTGGCCATCAAAGAAGGATGCACTTTTCTCCAAAGCGAGGAGAGAACTTCCACTTTGCTCATGGCCTTGTCTAAATACTGATGGAGTTTGTGGACTCAAAATTCTTCAAGCCAAGGCAGCTCATGTCAAAATCTCAGGTGGTCACTGAAGTCATACATAAACGTTAATTGTTAATTAAAAACAGAGGTCACAGTACACTAACTCCCCATGCAGGACCCCTGTCCTCAATGAGCTATATTATGAGAATAAACTATAAAACTAGTTCCCAAATTACAAAATTTCTGGGAACAAATGAAGGTGACAATACATCATATCAAAACTTATGGGATATAGGAAAATCAGTGTTAAGAAGGAGATTTATAACAATCAGTGAAATGAAGAACTGTTTTTTTTTGAAAAAATAAACAAAATTGATATGCTATTGACCCAACTAACTGAAGAAAAGATGGAGAAGATGCATATCAATAACATTAGAGATGAAAAAAATAAATGTAACAACAGTTATCACAGGAATAAAAAGAATTATCAGGAATTACTACAAAGAACTCTATGCCAACAAATTGGGAAACCTATAAGCAAGGAATAGATTTCCACACACATGCAATCTATCAAAATTGAGTCATGAAGACATAGAAAACCTAAACAGACCAATCACCAAGACAGAGATTGGATCAATAACAAAGACTTTCTGAAAAAAGAAAAGCCCAAGACCAGATGGCTTCACTGCTGAATTCTACCACATATTTAAAGAACTCCAATTCTTAAACTATTCATAACATTTGAAAAGGAAGGAATCCTCCCAAAACTCACCTCATGAAGCCTAAATTACCTTAATTATTTAGTCAGAAAAAGATATAACAGAGAAAGAGAAATATAGACCAATATCCTTGATGAACATAGATGCAAAAATCATCAGCAAAATATTAGCTAATTGAATCCAACCACACATCAGAAAAATCATTCACCCATACTATGTGGGATTTACCCGTGGTATGCAGGATGGTTCAACATTCACAGATGAATAAATGTTACACATCCCTCTAACAAACTGAAAAACCAAAACCATACAGTTATCTCAAGAGATGCAGCAAAAGCATTTGATAAAAGAAAACATAATTTTATGATGAAACCTTAAACAAATTGAATTTAGAAAGAACATTTTTCGACACATCCAGCATCCTATTGAATATCTAAGATCCAGTACCAGACAAGGATGCCCATTTTCACCATTGCTATTTAATATAGTCCAGGAAGTTTTAGCCAGGGCCATTAGGCAAGAAATAAAAATTAAAGGGAGACAAATCAGAAAGGAAAAAATCACACACTATTTGCATTTGCAGATGACATGTTCCTACATGCTGGGGATTGAAAATACACCACTAAGAGACTTTTGGAACTCATATAAGAGTTTGGTAATGTTGAAGGTTATAAAAGCATTGTACAAAAATCAATAGCCTTATCTAGCAACACAATACCTTGGATCAGAAATAATTTTCAAAATTAGTTCTGTTCATAATAGCTCCAAAAAATCAAATACCTTAGAGTAAATTTAACCAAGGATGTAAAAGATCTTTATGATGAAAATTATAAAAACTAAAGAAAGAAATAGAAGAAACCATCAAAACAAAATCTCTTCCATGTTCATGGATTGAAAGAATAAACATCATTAAAATGTCCATACTACCAAAGACAATCTATAGAGCCAATGCAATTCCAATCAAAATACCAATGACATTCTTTCCAGGTCTAGAAAAGTGATGCTAAAATTCATATGGAAACACAGGAGACCACGGATAGCTAAAGCCACCATATACAACAAGAACAGAGCTAGAGGCATTGCAATTCCTGATTTCAATATGTAGTGTTCCATTTTTCATATCTAACTTTATTTGAGTATTTTCCATTTTTCTTTGATATTCTGGCTAGAAGTTTAACTATTTTATTTGTCTTCTCAACAAACCAATTTCTAGTTTTGTTGATTTTTTTATTCTTTAGTTTCATTTATTTCTGCTCTGATCCTTATTACGTCTTGCCTCCTGCTGATTTGTGGTTTGGTTTCTTCTTGTATTAATAAGTCTTCAAGATTCATCATTAGATCTTTAACTTGAAATATTTCTCTTTCTCTCTTTTACTTTAATTTAATACATACAAATTTCATAGGTTCAGCTTTAGGAATATAGCGATTCTTACCTCCATAGTTGTCCCTCCAACCCCTTCCCATCGCACCTCCTACTCCCTCTCCCATCCCATTCTTAATTAAGATTCATTTTTAATTATCTTTATTTACAGAAGGCCAACTCTATACTAAATAGCAATTTCAACAGTTTGCACCTACACAGACACACAAAGTATAAAGTACTGTTTGAAGACAGTTTTACTGTTAATTTTCATTGTGCAACTCATTAAGGATAGAGATCCTAAATGGGGAGTAAGTGCAAAGTGATTCCTATTGTTAATTTAACAATTGACACTTTATTTTATGATGTCAGTGATCACTCAAGGCTCTTGTCATGTTAAGGCTATGGAAGTCTTTTGAGCAAAACAAACTCTTTTAGTATTTTTTTGCCATAAGCAAAGTGGAAGCTCTCTCCTCCCTTCAGAGAAAAGTACATCCATCTTTGATGGCCCCTACTTTCCACTGGGATCTCACTCACAGAGATCTTTCATGTAGATCATTTTTGCCACAGTGACTGGGCTTTCCATGCTTGTAATGCTCTCACGGCCCAGTATGTCTGTCAGGTGTCAGCATACATGTCATAGCCGGTACCTTGTTTTTGGTGGTGAGGGAGAACAGGACGGCTTGTGTCCTTGTCCTACTGGTAAGCCTGAGTAATGGCTGGGGCTTGTGGTACCAATACTGTAGCTCTAAAGCAATGCAGCTTCCCTGCTCCAAGACTAGCAGTTTCACAGACCCCAGTCAGCTTTCCAGGCTGAAATAAAAGTGAGTGAGAGGCTGTAGAATTCCCTCTTAGCTAAAACTGCCAGTGGTGGAATGTACGGCAATTTCTCCCTACTTTAAGGTGGTGAGAGACTGGCTTCCGTCTGGTGGCTGGGGGCACTGGAGACTAGCTGCAGCAGTGTCTCTGTCTTCTCTCCTGACAATAACATTTTTAAGCAGGATATTCTGGAAAAAAGTTAGTTACTAAGCGTTTTAAATGTCTTTAATGTTTCCTCTAATTGAAGAAGCTTTCACAGGTTCTTAGCTTGGTCAGTTTCTTACCACTAAAGATTTTTGTTTAAACATCACCCAACCATTACCATTCAGAGTCAATTCTCACTCCATGCTACTCAAAATAACAGTCTGCCTCCAATTTCATCTGAATGTATTCAGTTTCACATTTTTCATAGAACATTATGCTCCAGTTATTTTATTATTTGTATTTTGTAATTATAATTATTATCTTTAGTTCTAACGTTTTTGGCATGGCTATTTATTGTCTGTTCCTTTCTCTAGAATATAAGGTTTACAGAAATTTCTCTGGCTAAGAAAATGCTTCCATCACAGACAGTACAGAACCAGCCACTAGACAGTATGTCTGTCAGGTGTCAGCATACATGTTAGGATCAGTGGAAGGAAAATCTCTGCTCCTGCAAACTGCCCAGTTGATCCTGTTGTGCTCTCAGATTTCTTCTTCCTTCCTTTTCTCTCTTGTTGTGAAAGCATTTTGATAATGCTGTTGCTAAATATGCAGCAAATGTACTAAATGTTGGTATAGTGCATGGATTCTTAGTATTATGCTTTTTAAAGAAAAACATCATATCACAAATACTCACCAGCAAAACTGTCTTTATTCTTGCAAAATAATGTACGTTAAATAATTTTTAAAAGGCACTTGTTTTCTATGCTCTATAACTTCCCCAACATAAACAATGACTCCTATTTTTATATATATCTTCCAAATTATATATATATATATTTATATATATTTATGTCATAAATATATATATGGAAGATATTTACTTTAAGCTTTCATTTAATACAATTAAAAAGAAAATTTAATTTTAGTTAAGGTCATTGGCTCTAAATTGTATTCTTGTAAATGTGCTCTTTGAAAATATACAGAAAGTCAAACTGATCCCAACATGTCATATAAATATTTATGAAGATCAACTGTCATATAGATATAAAATATCTCATATCCATTAAGATGTAATTTAAATGGATTTTCTTCCAGCTTCTCTTATGAATCATCCAATGTCAGGCCAAAGTTCCCACCTGTATTTTTATATAATTCTTAAAATAATTACCTGGTAGCTAAAATTTAAAAATATATTTCAAAATGATGAAAATGGAGTTTTATTATGAGAAAATATTTTGTGTTTTAGTATGTAGGGCTTTGTTTCTAACCTTTCTCTAGATATTGTAACTTGGACCACTTTGCAATAATACTTACCAAAGACTTGGAGGAAAGCCTGCTTTTCATCTTCTCCTGCCTTATTTGTGGCCCTGCAGACATAAGGGCCCCCATCACTATTGATTATGTTCCTGACAGTGAGCTCTGTATTGCTTCCTTTCAATATGTACTTCTCATTTTCTTCAATAAGCTTGCCATTCCTGAAGGGGAAAAATAGGTTGATCTTGAAAAATCTGGCTTCTTCATGTAAGAGATCATAATTAATTTTCTGATCTACAAGCATCAATTACTTATTCTATTATAATAGCATCAATTACTTATTCTCTTTTTTTTTTTTTTTTTTTTTTTTTTTTGACAGGCCGAGTGGGACAGTGAGAGAGAGAGACAGAGAGAAAGGCTTCCTTTTGCCGTTGGTTCACCCTCCAATGGCCGCCGCTGCACGGGCGCACCGCGCTGATCCTGGCAGGAGCCAGGAGCCAGGTGCTTTTTCCTGGTCTCCCATGGGGTGCAGGGCCCAAGCACCTGGGCCATCCTCCACTGCACTCCCTGGCCACAGCAGAGAGCTGGCCTGGAAGAGGGGCGACCGGGACAGAATCCGGCGCCCCAACCGGGACTAGAACCCGGTGTGCCGGCGCCGCAAGGTGGAGGATTAGCCTATTGAGCCACGGCGCCGGCCCAGACAACACTATATTTCAATCTAAAGAATAATTTCAGTAGTATCAGAACTTTATGCATAAGCATTAAAATGACACTAGAAAATTATTTTGACTTTAGAAACAAAAAATAGCATTTAAACTATATTGAAATCTTAAATTTATATTGAATCTTAAAATTAGTCAGGCAAAATAATCACACTGTCAATTTATACTATATTGATGAGAAATATTCTTTACCTATCTTAAATCCATATACTGCTTATATGCTGTTATATCAACAAATAATTATGAAATATACTTATTTACTAATTTCCTCAGCCACATTTAGAATAATTTCTGTGAAACTATTTTAAAGTATTTTCAAAGTATGTGCAAGAAAAATCCATGTGAAATGCTTTTGCATATAAGAATTGCTAAACAAAGAGTAATATGAGAAAAAGATGTAAAAAAACCTAGTTAAATAAATTATGATGAATATAATGATTTAATTCACTAATGAGAAGAAATACTTTTACAAGTTTCCTCTTTCTAAAATTTGTCTCAATAATTTCAGAACATTCATGGATATTCTTTTTACTTCTATTTTTTCATCATCCTTTCCTCCTTCTCTGATTCTTTTTCTGTGTTTCTCTACATATTTTTCTTGAGGTTTGGGTTACTGATTTGGTTTTAAGATCCCCTGATAGAAAAATTTAGAACATATCTTAGTTGTGAGATTTACTTGTACACAAAGTTTAAATTTAGAAAAAAAAATGGAATATCTAGAAAGATTGCAAAATATCTTTCTTAGACAAAATGGAACATTTTTCTCACATGCTAAAATCTTTGTAGTTAATTCTAGCTCCACTTTTCAGAATGCACTAACATATACACTATGATAATCCTTATCTTTCTCTGACTTAATGGTATCTGTTTCCTCAGTTTTCAAAGTAACTCTAAATATATTTTACAATGTGTAAAATTCCATAAGAATGATGAAGGAAAGAGTCGAGTTGTATAAGATCACAACAAAAAAGTGTATACAGGCCGGTTCCTCGGCTCACTAGGCTAATCCTCCGCCTACAATGCTGGCATCCCGGGTTCTAGTCCCGACTGGGGCACTGGATCCTGTCCCGGTTGCTCCTCTTCCAGTCCAGCTCTCCGCTGTGGTCCAAGAAGGCAGTGGAGGATGGCCCAAGTGCTTGGGTCCTTTACCTGCACGGGAGACCAGGAGGAAGCACCTGTCTCCTGGCTTCGGATCAGCACAGCATGCAGGCCGCAGCAAGCCAGACATAGCGTCCATTTGGAGCATGAACCAATGGAAGGAAGGCCTTTCTCTCTGTCTTTCTCTCACTGTCTAACTCTGCCTGTCAAAAAAATTTAAAAAAAAAGTGTATACAGGCTGGCCCCATGGCTCATTAGGCTAATCTTCCACCTGCGCGGGCACCCCAGGTTCTAGTCCCAGTTGGGGTGCCTGATTCTGTCCTGGTTGCTCCTCTTCCAGTCCAGCTCTCTGCTGTGGCCCGGGAGTGCAGTAGAGGATGTCCCAGGTCCTTGGGCCCTGCACCCTCATGGGAGACCAGGAGGAAGCACCTGGCTCCTGGCTTCGGATCAGCGCAGTGCACAGGCCATAAAGCGCCAGCCATAGCAGCCACTTGGGGGGTGAACCAACAGCAAAAGGAAGACTTTTCTCTCTGTCTCTCTCTCTCTCTCTCTCTCTCTCTCTCTCACTGTCTAACTCTGCCTGTCCAAAAAAAAAAAAGTAAAAAAAAAAAAAAAAGTGTATACTGTATTTTTTGCATTTTTACTTCTACAAACTAAAATTGTAAAAAAAGATGACATTGCAGTATTTTTTGCCTAAATATAATGTTTGAATAGGGATTTCACACAAGTAGTAATACAATATATCTCTCAACTTTTTTGATGAAAATTATTCATTTATTTCAAATTAATAATAGAGATTTTTGTGACTTACAGCTATAAATACTTTCCCTACATTATTTCCATGATTTGATATTCACAATTCCCCTATAGATGTATATTTTCCCTTATTCTACATTTAAAGACAAAAAAACTCAAATTCATATATGATGTCTCCATCAATCAGTTCACAGATAAATAAATTTAAATGCACACAGTAATGAAATCAGGATGATAACCTTTTCCAGGGTTCTTTGTAACAAAGAAAATTATTTCTCTGCCTCAGGTGAAATATTTTGGTCAATGTCTGAAACGTACCAAAAGTGTGGCCACTAATTGTGAACAATTTTCAATTTCATTGGCATTAGAGGGTTATACATGAGCACATAACTTAGGGAAAGAATTCTGCCACAATGGGAGAATATAGAAATAAATAGAAATAAAAATGACTGAAATACTCTTGCAGTATTCATGGGGAAAATCATTTAATTGGCCGTTGAAAAGAGTATTAATGAATTTTTTTTTTTTTTTTTGACAGGCAGAGTGGATAGTGAGAAAGAGACAGAGAGAAAGGTCTTCCTTTTGCGTTGGTTCACCCTCCAATGGCCGCCACGGCTGGCGCGCTGCGGCCGGCGCACCGCGCTGATCTGAAGGCAGGTGCCAGGTGCTTCTCCTGGTGTCCCATGGGGTGCATGGCCCAAGCACTTGGGCCATCCTCCACTGCCTTCCTGGGCCGCAGCAGAGAGCTGGCCTGGAAGAGGGCCAACCGGGGAAGAATCCGGCGCCCTGACTGGGACTAGAACCCGGTGTGCCAGCGCCGCTAGGTGGAGGATTAGTCTATTGAGCCACAGTGCCGCCAGTATTGATGAGATTTAAAGGCAATCAATATGTAAAGATTATGTTTCCTTAAAGAGCTCAGCTTAAAAATATCATTAAAGCATAATAACCTAATTAATATTTTAATATTCCTCTCTCAGCAAATTTGTTAGAAGAAACTCCTATTGTTTTTCATAGTCCATTTGTATGGAATACCACTGTCTGCAAAAGCACTACAAAGGGATATTGCAAGACTCCCACAAGCCTATCCTTTGATATATAATCTACTTCCCCTTTCTAGGTACAAGAATGTATGAATTAGGATTTTAAAATTAACAGGATAAGCAATGGAAGGTAATTCCAATTTTAACGATAACAGCATAATAGAGAAGTTCAAAAAATTCACGGAAGATGCATATTATGCAGAAACATATTTCCAAAAACAAGTTGTACCAAAATAAATTTAACTTTTAATTGTTTTCCATGAATATTTTGAAGTATCCTCATAACTTACTCTTTCGATTTTAATGACAAAATTAATTTACTATTTTAATGAATGAATATTTTGTCCTTATCAGATGTGGGAAAAATTTTAAAGGTGCAGTGACAGAACTTCAAAATACGAAGTAAAACAGAGAAGTGAACAAAATTACATTTACAAATTAAGTTGGAGAACTGTAGTTAGGAATTAAGTAATGATTCCAAGGCTTGAATATTACTGCAAAGAAAGTAGACATGTTCAATATTTAGAGATAACTTCATGTAATAATAGTGGAATACAGTTTTACCTATTGCATTTTTTTCAAGTACATACAGAAATCAGTAGTATAGTCCATGAGACTCAATGTTTCAGCAAATTGATCCCATTAAAGACTGTTCCTTGGTAAGTACTAACTGTAGTTAGAAATCAGTAACAGAAATACATATGATATATTTGAAATGCTTGGAATAATTAGCATATTCTAAACAAGCAATTTCAAAATTGATATCATAAGAGAATTTCAGATATATTTGGATTGAGGAAAATTGAAAATATGTCAGTGTAAAAAAGAATACAATTAAAAGTGTTTAAAAACAATAAATATGCTTAAATTAGAAGAATATATAGTATTAGTATACATCTTAAGGAACCAAAAAGGAAGAGAAAATTAAACAGAAAATAAACAAAAGAAAGGCAATAATAAAAATAAATCACATGGGGGCTGGCGCCGTGGCTCACTTGGTTAATCCTCTGACTGCGGCGCCGGCATCCCATATGGGTGCCGGTTCTCGTCCCGGTTGCTCCTCTTCCAGACCAGCTCTCTGTTGTGGCCTGGGAGGGCAGTGGTGGATGTCCCAAGTGCTTGGGCGCCTACACCCGCATGGGAAACCCGGAAGAAGCTCCTGGTTCCTGGCTTCCGGCTGTTGCGACCACTTGGGGAGTGAACCAACAGAAGGGAGACCTTTCTCTCTGTCTCTCTCTCTTGCTGTCTAACTCTTTCCATCAAATAAATAAATAAATAAATAAATAAATCACAGAGGATTGGTTTTATGGCAGGGAAAATTAAGCCACCGCTTGTGACTTCAGCATTATATATGGGCATGCCATTTTAAGTTCCTGCTATTCCTCTTAATCCAGCTTCCTACTTATGTGCCTAAGAAGGCAGCAGATGATGGGTTAGTACTTAGATGGCAGTCACCCAAGTGGGAGATGCAGATGGATTGTGTTTCTGGCTTAAGCCTGGCTCAGTGGGTGTTGCGTGGATTTGGAAGGTGAACAGAGTGGAAGATTTCTCTCTGTATATTTTTTCTATTTCTCTGTCTGTCTCTCTCTCTCTTGCTCTGTCTTCTAAATAAATAAAGGTTTAAATTAAAACCAGAAACTGATAAAATAAAAACTAGGGAAATGAAGAGAAAATGATGAAAACTAAAAACTAATTGAGAACATTATTGTCATAAACCTACATCTAGACTGATTAGAATAATAATAGAGTAGAACAAGTAACATGATTGTTAGCTTATCAGGATGAAAGGGAGATCACTGTAGATAATGCAAATTTAAAAAAAATGTAACAAGGGAATACTGTGAATGCGTTTATGCCCTTAAAAATAATCCAAAAGAAACAGAAAAATTTCTGGAATGACACACATCATCAAAGCTCACTAAAGAAAGAGGTTAACATGAATATTCCTAAATCTATGAAAAAAATTGAATTTGTAGCTAAATCCTTGTACATAAAAATATTTTGTGTCACCAAAATTTTTTGCAGACAATTAGGTAAGGAATAATGAAGGTTGTGTTAAAGCATTATCAGAATACAGAAGAGAAGAGAGTACCTCCACACTCATCCCTTGAAGCCAATATTGCATGACTTCTAACAAGTCATGATCGACTAAATATTTGAAAAATATCTCCCAAACACATGAATGTAAATATTCTTAAAGAATAAGTGATGATACAAGCAATGCATATAAAAACTAATAGGTCTTTTTATTATATATTTAACAGGCAGAGTGGACAGTGAGAGAGAGACAGAGAGAGAAAGGTCTTCCTTTGCCGTTGTTTCACTTTCCAATGGCCGCCAAGGCTGGAGCACTGCGGCTGGTGCACTGTGCTGATCTGAAGGCAGGAGCCAGGTGCTTCTCCTGGTCTCCCATGGGGTGCAGGGCCCAAGCACTTGGGCCATCCTCTACTGCACTCCCTGGCCACAGCAGAGAGCTGGCCTGGAAGAGGAGCAATAGGGACAGAATCCGGCGCCCCGACCGGGAATAGAACCCGGTGTGCCGGCGCCGCTATTTAGAGGATTAGCCTATTGAGCCGCGGTGCCGGCCCTAATAGGTCATTATAAAGTAGATTTAAAACAAGGAGTTCAGGTGTTAATATTTGAAACTCAATGACCTACAGAAAATTATTGCACTAACAATAAACAAAGCATATCTTGTTCTTGATAGCTATATAAGAAGCAGTTGAAACGAAATAGACATTGACAGTCACTATTTATGTCCCTAGTTCATTTTAAAAGTCACTAAATTTTACTGATTCTCTTTTAAAAAGTCTGTTATAATTTCCAAATTTTGGGTACTTAACTAATTTCTTGTAGTATTGTTATGGACTAAATTGTGATCCCCATCTACACCATTCTTTCCTTGTAGTACTACATCCCAAGTGTATTGTTACTGGACACAGGGTCTTTATACCTCCAGTTAAGGTTAAAAGAAATCATTAATGTGAACCTTAAACCATAGGACTGGTAACCCTCTTTTTCTCTTTCCATCAAGCACACAAAGGAAAGACCCCCAGGATAAAATGAAAAGATGGCCATCTGCAAACAAGGAAGAGAGGCCTCACTGGAATCCAACGCTCCTGGCACACTGCTCTTGGAATTCTAGCATCCAGGACCATGAGAAAATAAATTTCTGTTGCTTTAGCCAACTACACCCATGCTGTCATATCTTGTGGCAGCTTAAACTGGCTAATGCAACTGAATGCACTCATATCACTTGGAGGTATTATCTTTGCAGCATGTTTACTTTAGTTCTTTCCCTTCAGGCTACTAACCTACATTCCCTGGTGCAAACACTAATACTTCACAATCATGACATGTTTCTAACTGCAAAAACTTCCCTCTGTTAATAATTTTATCTCTATTAATGTCATAACCATATACTTGTACTCTGTTCATATAGATTTTATATCCAGAGATTAGAAAAATGATTTAGGTTTAATTTATTTTGAAATGTTTCATTTATTTGAGTGACACAAAGAGACAGAATCCCATCCACTGGACAACTTCCTAGACATTCACATCAGCCCCTGGATGGAGGAGTGTCAAAGCCAGGAGTCTGGGAACTCAATCCAGGTCTCCCACATGAGTGGCAGGGACCCAAATACTTTAATTATCATCTAATGCCTTCCAGGGTCCCCACTGGCAGAAAGCTGAGTTAAGACCTGGAGTTGAGTATTTAATCTAGGCATTGTGATGTGGGATGTGGGCATCCTCACAAACAGAACTAGGTTTTAAACTAATTATGATTTCATCCTGCACTAGAGATAAAATTGATGCCATGTGAATATATCACGAAAAATCACAAATTTAAATTACTCATTATGTTATCCTTTGAATCTGATTAACTGTAATTAATCTGATTAAGTCTGTGTGATAATTAGATTTCCAATTAAATGCAATAAAAATAATTTTCAAATGAATGTGAAATGTTAAGAAAAACAGCAAAAAGTAAGTTTCCTGTGAAATATAAAATCATTTGAGAAAGATCCCAGAGCAATATTTGTTCATCCTAACCAGTAAGCCAAGTGAATTTCTGATGTGTAATTAGATATGATACTGTCGAGAGTCTACATTAATAAATTGGGAGTCTCTGGGATATATGATCATTACCTGGGGTGAATTCTGTAATACCTGATATGTAATTCCCTAGAAAGAGATCAACAATGTGACACAAAAGAATTTATATCTGAAAGAACAGCTAAAACACCCTGTTTGCCTTCTGCTATACTGAATGTGTAAACAAGATGAACAAAGGTTGGAAAGCTAAAGATAATTTTAGTAAATTGTCAGAGAGAATATACTGAAAAATTAGTTTTGTATTTTGAGTACTGTCCTCAGCATAGTTTAAAAAATGTAATCTCAGCTGTGGATGCTTATGTATATTAGAATGTATATTTTTCTAATCATTTCTTATGATTATTCTTGCACTACACAAATATACTTGGTGAATTATACCCATACAAATGATTCTACAAATATTTCTAAACATTTGTAAATTTGAAAAGTTTTCCAGTTTTAGGAGATTAAGTCACAATCTAAAAGAAAAGAGAAATTCGATACACGCTTGATCTTAATGGAAATTAAATTCTGAAACAAAAGAAAAGCAGTGAGAAAACTGTCAAAGAACAGATTTAGAATATAAAGTTCACTCATTTGATAAAGTACACATTTTAAAGTGCATATTAAGTGCATGTACTTTTAACTCTACGTAATTACTTCTATTTTTGTAACATAGTAAACAAGTGAAATGTTCAAGTACAGTTTAATAATATGTGATTTTGTACAATTAAGTCTGCTATCCTAGGGAGTCTACTGATGTGGTATATGGGTAACAACAAAATGACTGAATCAGTCAGAGGAACCCTGCACTCATGTTGACCACAATAAGAATTGTGGTTGGCCAGTGCCACAGCTCAATAGGCTAATCCTCCACATGTGGCGGTGGTACCCCGGGTTCTAGTCTCAGTTGGGGGCGCCGGATTCTGTCCCAGTTGCTCCTCTTCCAGTCCAGCTCTCTGCTGTGGCCTGGGAGTGCAATGGAGGATGGCCCAAGTCCTTGGGCCCTGCACCCACATGGGAGACAGAAGCACCTGACCAGGAGAAGCACCTGGCTCCTGGCTTCGGATCAGCACGGTGTGCCGGCCCCAGCGGCCATTGTGGGGGTGAACCAATGGAAAAAGGAAGACCTTTCTCTGTCTCTCTCTCTCTCTCTCTCTCTTACTGTCCACTCTGCCTTTAAAAAAAAAAAAAAAAAAAAAAGAATTGTGGTATAGCCTTTGACTGGGAAAATCAGAGCAATTTCATCCTATTTATCCCCTAAGTAATTTTTCTAACCAACTTACCTGAAAACAAAATTTTATATTTTTAATTAAAAAAATTATTCAGAGCCATCACTGTGGCACAGCAGTTTAAGCCACCTAATGCAATGTTTGCCTCTCAAATGGGCACTGTTTCACATTCTGGCTGCTCCACTTCCTATCAAGCTCCCTGCCAATGGACTGGGAAGATGTGAAAGATAGCTCAAGTGTTTGGATCCCTGCCACCCAGGTAGGAGACACAGAATAAGCTCCTGGCTCCTGACTTTGACCTGGCCCAGTCCCAGCAGTTCCACCCACCTGGAGAGTGAACTAATGCATAGAAGATCTCTTTCTTTCTGTATCCCCCTGTTAACTCTGACTAAACAAATAAATGTTTTAATTATTTTTACATTAAAGACTTTGCTTCTTGTCAAAATGATCAAGATCTAAAATATTATTCCAGGTGTTTGTTTATGGACACAAGACTGAGCAACATACGTGCCTGACCTACCTGGACCAAGCAATGGTGGGTTCCGGAGAGCCTGATGCCCTACAAGATAATGTCATCTCTTCGCCTCTGTCTGCTGTGGCATTAAAGGATTTCTGAGGCATTGTGATCACTGGCGGCACTGAAGAAGAGACAGAAGAGACAATAGCGATGAAAACATTTTAACCAACACCATTGTTAGATTTTTTATAGTGTAAAATGCAAAAATTTAAAACGTGATAGCTTACTTTTTCACTTTCATGAAGGAGATTGACTTAGTTTCATAGTAAAATAACTTTAAGGCCACTAATCTGCTCTTGTGGGTACAGTAATTAGATAACTCTGTTATAACACCATTTTACTATTTCTTAATATATTAAACTAGACTAGGATAAGCTATACATGTTAGCAAATATGTATGCTTTTATGAAATATGTTTGACAAAAGGAAAGACAATGCCACCCTGACTTACATCGATACTGAGATACACTTTTGGCATGAAAGTATTCCCTATTTGGGTTCTCACTGCAATATTTAATGCCACAGGCCATCATTCACTGCTTCATGACAGGGCTTTCAAATTAAGTGTCAAACCATAATGTTCTCTCTGATTAACTACACTTAATTTCTTCAAACAGCTATACAACATTTTATGAAGAAAAAAGGCATAAGTCATAGCGACTATGAAAATAGATTTCCATGAACAATTCAATCTCAAAATTAAGGTCCCCCAACTTCTAACTAATTACATTGTGAAAACTGTATATGCTGCACATTTTGGACAAGTTGAAACTGTTACTGAAATGCACTGTTTGCAATAAACAAATCACTAACATACATAAGATAAACTATATTTCAGTGTAAAGAATAGATTGGGACACAATGCAAGCTTTCAGAATCTCAAATTGAGTATCACAAAGTGATATTCTTAAAGTTAATTGTATATATATATATATATATCATGTACACTAAGCAATAAAACAAGAGGCATCTGGAAATGTGATTATAATTTATATTGCTAAAATAGTATTAAGGTCAGCATCGATGTTGCATTATCCCCATTGATGGTGGGTATTGGGACTGATGCATATCTTAGTAATTACATGCACTAAATCAAGTTTCTGTCCTTATGAAATTAGATATAAGCAGCATGATATGACATGCTGTCCATAAATAATATAATAATTACTAGTACTACCAAAACATGGATTTTTCATATATTAACTCTGAATTTAAACTAGACTGCCATTTAATTTTCTGTATCCTATTTTACTTTCATTATAAAATGCATTTTCTACAGTTCAGTATTTGTGTAAATGGAAACAATTCCAAACTGAGAATCAAGTGCTCCAGTTTTCACTAGGTACTGCTACTAATTGGAACAAATTAAAAATCCTAATATTCTTGGGTAGAAATTGAAATATCTATGGCTGATAAACTCTGAGAATTGAAAATTTTAAATGTTTATGTTTTATGATAAAAATAACTCTGAGAATTAAGAATTAAGTACCACCCATATGATTCAATGTAATGCAGCAGGACAATATTAATATTGCACATTCACAAAATACTTTGAAGAACATTTCCAGTACTATTCTAAAGAATAAAAATATCAAAAACTTAGGAAATCTCCAGTAAGTCAGATGTTAACCACTATTTGGGACTATAGTAAGCATTTTTAACAAAGATTTATTTATTTGAAAGGCAGTGAGAGAGAGAGACAGAGAGGAAGAGAGGACATGTTGATCCGTTCACTACCCAAAAGGTTGCAACGGCCAACAGGGCTGGGCCAGGCCAAAGCCAAGAGCCAGGGGCTTCTTCCGAGTCTCCCACAAGCACTTGGACCATCTTCCACTGCTTTCCCATGCACATTAGCAGGGAGTTGGATCAGACGCAGAGCAGCTAGGACTTGAATCAGCGACCATATGAGATGATGGCACTAGAGATCATAGCTTAATTCATTGAGCCATAGCCCTGATCAAGTCAGCATGTCTATGGATATTAACTCATTTGCTTGAATTCCTTATTGAATTGTTAAAGTTTTTTTTAAGATTTATTTATTTATTTGAAAATCAGAGTTACAGAGAGGCAGAGGCAGAGAGAGAGGTCTTCCATCTGCTGATTCACTCCCAAATGGCTGCAATGGCTGGGGCTGAGCTGGTCTAAACCAGAAGCCAGGAAATTTTTCTTGGGCCATCTTTTCCTGCTTTACCAGACCATAGCAGAGAGCCAGATTGGAAATGGAGTAGCTGGGACTCGAACCAGTGCACATATGGGATGCCAGAACTTCAGGCCGTGACTTTATCTGCTATGGCAGGGTGCTGGCCCCAGGATTAGGTCATTTTAAAAGGAATAGCAATTATATTTATTTCAAATTTCTTATTCTCTCATAAATCCCAAATATGCTCTATTTATATATAAAATTAATTTATCAAAAAATACAGGGGCTAGTGTTGTGTCATAGCAGATAAAGCAACCACCTGCAGTGGCAACAACCCATATGGGCCCTGATTTGAGGCCCCACTGTTCCACTTCCGATCCAGCACTCTATAGCCTGGGAAAACAGTAAAAGATGGTTCATGTGAGACCAAAACGAAGTTCCTGGATTCTGATGTGTGCAACTCTGGTCTTTGTGGCCATTTGGGGAGTGAACTAGCAGCGAGAAGACCTTTCTCTTTCTCTCTCTCTAAATATATATATATATATATACACACACACACTATACACACACACACACACATATATATATATATATGACATTTTTATTAATAAATAAAGGCCTTAAATTAGCTCATGGAAAATGTATGCATGGAAATATTTATCTTTCTTTCTCCTTACAGTATCTTATTTATTCAAACTTGCATATTTTTAAGAAATACAGTCCAACACTTCAATACATATACACAGTATAAGGCCATCACAGTAGTTTTTCCAAATCCCAATAATTTCTTTCTTTTATTCAATTTTTTCCTTTTTTATTGTTCACCTTTTCTTATTTTTACTTTTCAGTCTGTATGACCATTAGAAAGTCACATAAGGAATCAGCCCCTGAACAGAGAAATAAATGGGCCAACTTAACACTAAAATATTTATAGTTTTAACAGTCTATATTGATCTCAGTCTATATGGAAAGCAAATTAATTTCTTCCCTCAGGTCTTCCCATGACTTCATTAACACATAATGCCTGCCTCTGTGTATTTATTTTAAGGACAGAAAAGTAAAACAAGTGAGAAAACACATTTGTGAAGCTAAGTCATATTATTAAAAGATGGTAGAAAATTGTATTTTTCAGTTAATTCTAAGAACACTTATTTGATAAGGGTCATAGGGAATCATTCCTTATATCTTTTTTGGTGTTTTTAAAGTTACTTAAGTGCTTATAACAATTTGGAACAAATAACTTGTTCTCTAATATAATTTAGATTCTCCCTATGCAATAAGATATTTTGATTATGGAGAATGCATTCTCATCATGATTTTTTATATGATTGTTACATCCAAATGATTATACCAGCCAACAGTTAGGTCATATCTGTGTGGATCTCTTCTTTGTTTTATTTGTATGTTGTCATCTTGTTCTTTGCTGCTGCCAGAAATATCATATGCTCCAAATCTTTAAATTTTCATTATTATCAGCTCTAGTTGCAATAGATCATTTTCGTAGTTGAAAAAAATCTTCAGTGTTTGGAATGTCACAAAATATTAATTGATATTTATATATAAGAATCTAGCAAATTGTATAATTCAGTTGAGAGAAAATATAGCTCACTGTTAAAATAAGCACAACATCAAAACAAACAACCCACTTTAAGAGATGGGCCAAGGACCTCAATAGACATTTTTCAAAAGAAGAAATCCAAAGGGCCAACAGACACATGAAAAAATGTTAAAGATCACTAGCAATCAGGGAAAATGCAAAATCAAAACCACAATAAGGTTTCACCTCACCCCAGTTAGAATGGCTCACATTCAGAAATCTACCAACAATAGATGCTGGAGAGGGGGAAAAAGGGACACTAACCCACTGTTGGTGGGAATGCAAACTGGTCAAGCCACTATGGAAGTCAGTCTGGAGATTCCTCAGAAACCTGAATATAACCCTACCGTTCGACCCAGCCATCCCACTCCTTGGAATTTACCCAAAGGAGTTTAAATTGGCAAACAAAAAAGTGGTCTGCACCCTAATGTTTATCGCAGCACAATTCACAATAGCTAAGACCTGGAACCAACCTAAATGCCCATCAACAGTACACTGGATAAAGAAATTATGGGACATGTACTCTATAGAATACCATACAGCAGTCAAAAACAACGAAACCTGGTCATTTGCAACAAGATGGAGGAATTGGGAAAACATCATGCTGAGTGAATTAAGCCAGTCCCAAAGGGACAAATATCATATGTTCTCCCTGATTGGTGACAACTAACTGAGCACCAAAGGGGAAACTTGTTGAAATGAAATGGACACTATGAGAAACAGTGACTTGATCAGCTCTTGTCCTGACGGTTGATGTACAATGTAATACTTTATCCATTTTAGCATTTTTTTTGTTCTAGTACCATTGGTTGAACTCTGTAATTAACACACAATTATTCTTAGGTGTTTAAATTTTAACTGAAAAGTGATCCCTGTTAGGAATTTGGAAAACATTATGCTGAGTGAAATAAGCCAATCCCAAAGGGACAAATACCACTTGTTCTCCTTGATAGGTGACAACTAACTGAGCACCAAAAAGGAAACCTGTTAAAGTGAAATGAACACTATGAGAAACGGTGACATGATCAGCCCACACCCTGACTGTTGATGAGCAACTTGATATGTTATCCCTCTTAGTATTTTTTTTTGTTTGTTCTACTTAATACTTTTGGTTGAATACTGTAATCAATACACAATTCTTCTTAAGTGCTGAACCTTAACTGAAAAGTGATCGCTGTTAAATATAAGAGTGGGAATAAGAGAGGGAAGAGATGTGCAATGCAGGACATGCTCAAGCTGACTTACCTCAAACGGTAGAGTTAGAAACATACCAGGGGATTCCAATTCAATCCCATCAAGGTGGCATGTACCAATGTCATCTCACTAGTCCCAGTGATCAATTTCTGTTCACAATTGATCATAATGATAGGACTAAGAACCAAAG